AGAGAGCCCAGGTGACCCTTCCTGAGGGAGCTTCTGCTCAGATTGCAAAGGACATTTAAATTGTGCACGTGGGGAACATTAAAAGGGGTGAAAGATGCATATCTGCTGGCAGAAAGGGTATGAACTGTATTCTGCTTATGGTTTGATTCTCATGCAGTTGCCGAAGCTGTACCACCAGCTTTTGAGGAGAACATTGGTTTCGTGATGCGTAGAGTGCAAAACTGCTTTGTAACATGATAATGGGGGAGGGAGAGCTAAAGTAAATCATAGTGAGCATGTAGCACTGACCCTTCGTGGGTATCAAGGGAGATGTCAAAGCAAACTGAACAGTTTGAGTGGATCTGAAATGAGAAGCGGGTCAGGAGTTAGCAAAGTGGTAAGCATTTGGTGGTAGATGCTACAGAAGATTGTTAAACATTTCTTTTTAGTAAAAGGTTAGGGGGTAATGTGGAGGGGCTGCAAAATTATAAAAATTATTAACTTTTAAAAGCCTTTACCTGTAAGTTTATGTTTTAATAATTTGAGCTCCAGGGATTCTGAGAGTATCTGCCACTTATCCTAAATGAGGGAGAGTGGAGTTGCTGATCTGCTTTTAAAAGGCTTTGGAGAAGGTCCTGCATGAGACTGCTGAAGAGAAAATGCAAAGTTTCTCTAACTTTGTCGAATCCATGACAGAAAAAAAAGCAAAGAACAGAAATAAATGTCCAGGTTTTATTGTAAGAATTGGTCAGTAAAAGGAACATCAGGGACTTTAGCTGTGTGGTGTGCATTGAAGAGACAATTTAATGTGTTAGATCTTATATAATGAGAATGAATAGAAAAGGAGGATGTGGCAGCAAAGAGACAGTATCTGTGCGATGTTTAGGTTTATCAGAAGCAGAAGACTGTGAGATAACTGTGAGGCTTCTGAACCAAGTGAATTAAATTGTGTTTAGCAGTCTTTACTGTAAAGTGATGTGTATGGAGCAGTTTAGATTCAGAAGGAAAAAAAGTGACTCTGTGTAGTTATGTGCTTGCAATTCATTCAATGAAAGGTTGAGGAGAAACTCAAATTCCAAACAGTGGAAAATTCAAAATGCAGGAGAAAATACTTACTTCAAAACATACATGGCAACTGTGGAACTACTTGAGATAGGATGTGAAAGGGAAAAAAAGAAAAAAAAATTTCAATAAGTTTTTTTTCTAGTGCTAATTGTATAGCATTGTTAAGTAATTATAAATGGCTGTAATTAAGTTTTGAAATACTACACTTAGCTCTGAATATGGAGAGTTATTTAGTGGTGATAGATTCAGAGGACAGGCATTAATGTCCATATTTCAAGCTTTGTTTTAGATATCGTCTCTCAGGCCTGCTGAGTGAATGAACTGTGAAGAGCAGTTGTGCTTCAGTACTGTAGTGCACAGCAAGTGAGAAACAGCCTGTGTGAAGTACTCTTGGTGTACTTGTGTTTCAGGTGTCTCTGCTTATTAGGCGAGAGCTCACAGAGAGAGCCAAGGATTTCAGCCTCATCCTGGATGATGTGGCTATCACAGAGCTGAGTTTCAGTCGTGAATACACAGCGGCTGTGGAGGCCAAGCAAGTGGGTGAGTTCAATTTACGCCTTGAAAGGGTGGGTTGCTTTTCTCTTTTTATTAATAAACAAGGAAGTAAATCTGAGCTAGCGTGTCATTTTTGCATTGATACAACTTCAGGGTTACAAGCCCCAGCTTCCTTAGTAGTGGAGCTATCTATATTATTCCAAGTATTAGCAGAAAACTTTGGGCCATAGCTAGTGGAATAGGTCATGAATGGAACTGTGTTCCCCAAGCTGTAGGACTTCCCTACTACTCCCTCTGGGGAAGTACTTGTTGGTTTTATTAAACAAAAAAAACAACAGCAGAATTATACATTTCTTACTTGTGGATATGGCCCTAGGATACTGTCAGTTCTTATAGAAGCATAAGATCCCCAGGCCTCAGCCATAGAGTCTTGGCAGATTCAAGAGATGGGATCTGCTTTGAGTGCTTTTGTCCATTCTTTCTGCAGCTCAGCAGGAGGCACAGCGTGCACAGTTCCTGGTGGAGAAGGCCAAGCAGGAGCAGAAGCAGAAGATTGTTCAGGCTGAAGGAGAAGCTACAGCTGCTAAGATGATATCCTACTTTGGGGGATTTTGTGGGGTGTGGCTTGTGAGCTTGACAGGCCTTGGAATTTATTGCATGGATTCATGTTTAGCAGACTTTGAGGAGAGAGAGCTTCAAGTAGGCCTCGGGTTTGTTTTTTCCCTGCAGTTTGTTGGAGTGAGGATTAAATGCAGCTACTTGACTGAGGCTACAGATCAGGGCAGAAGACACCATGAGCCTTTGCTCCCTGTTGCAAGGTATAATTACTGTTTGCTGTGTGGGGCAATAACATTGTACTTTTTGGAATTTTTACACTTGGAAACATAAAAATGTCCTTGCCTAGAGGCCCAAGTCAGTGGTATAGCAATCTTCTTTTTTTTTTTCCCTTCGAGATTTTGCTGATATGTGTTCATACATTTATGTGAATTCCTTAGGTGGAATTAATTGAAGGCAGTGAGTTTCAATTACTAGTTTTTTTCCATAACTGTACCCTGTACCTCGGTGAAGCTCTGAGCAGAAATCCAGGCTACATCAAACTACGTAAGATACGAGCTGCTCAGAACATCTCAAAAACGGTGAGTAGGAGAGCATAGAACTTCCACATTTCTTCTGCATTTGCTTTGTCCTCCTAGCCCAGTGGCCATATGATGAATTTAAGGCGAATGTGACCTGCCCTGTCCTGATCTTTCTCCCAGCTCTGCTCTTTTTTGATCAAATAGATCTAAAGATTTAGTTAGCAGTGATCGGCAATTATACGCAAGGCTAGGAGTTTATGCCCTTCGTATGACAAGGCCAGATCCAAATCAGATCTCATCACCCTCCCTCAGCTGCAGCCACCACAAGCTCCTGGCTTGCTGCACACTGCCAAGAGGGGACAGATAGGCATGGGATCAAAGGTCTGTCTGACAAGGAGACAGAATGATCACTGTTCTTTTAAAAGTCTGACGGCACTGGGATGGGAAGTAGGGACATTACATAGTTGGTTTTGGAAACTGTGTTCATTTAACTAAGATTTTAAGTGTATACAAGCAAGAGTGCTGTACCTCGAGGGAGAGAGTGATTATTTATTAATGCTGTCCTTCCTTTATTTTTTAAACTTTTTTCATATGACCTCTGTAATGAATTTCTTTTTCAGATTGCTGGCTCACAAAACCGTGTGTATCTCACAGCAGATAACTTGGTACTGAACCTGCAGGATGAGGGCTTTACCAGGTAAGGGGACAGGTGTCTGTTGTGGGGAAATTTACCTGCGCCTTCCTTGTGAAACTAGTCTTTTTTCAGGAGCTCTCTCAGGATATTTCCTCTGAGATCCTGATGCCAGAGAACACAATTCAGTAGAGTGCACTCTTGCTTACTGCAGAAATGAATTATTTTGTTTTTCAGTCTAATGATTTTCTCTTTTGTTTCTCTTTCCTCTCCATCCCCTTACTACATCTCCTGACACAGAGGAAGGTAGGATGCTCAACTTTATTTTGATCCTTTTGTTAGTATTTGGAACATAGACATTGATGTGTTGGTATTTGGCCTGGGTGTTGCTTTTCTTGGGCGTTTCTGGCAACCAGTTCATTCTATTTCTATATCAGTTCCCATTTGTGATATGAAGTTTGAAGCCTTTCCTTGCAGGGGCCATACAAACATCTACGTCAAGTGGGAGATGTTCAGTAATTGGAGCTATGCGTGTGTCTTGGAACCTTGCATGGGGAAGACAGGAATAATAATCTGAGGACCGTCCTCTAATCTATCCCACTTGTACTGGACATCCTGCTGTTAAAACAGAGGGCTTTATGGAGGCAGTTAGATGGTTGTAGTATATTGTGTTGATATGGTGTAATGATCTCTTGAAAAGAAGTTCTTGTTACTCTCCAAAAGCTTTCCAGTCCATGCTAGAAAATCTCATTCCCCGCTTTCAGAGCTGGACAGAATTTTATGGTTTTAGCCTCATTTGTCCAGTAGTAACTGGATAACACACTGCCAGTTGAATTAGTAGTGTGTGGCTAAAAGCTTAGAATCAAGAAAGGAAACCAGAGGTGGTTTATTTTCTATGCTCTCTCTGATCACTTTTGCACCTGTTTGGCCAGATTCTACCTTATTTGTCCCAGTAGGTTTAAGGGGGTTTGAAAAAAGGTCTTCAAAGGACTTGAAGTCCACATTGTTGGAGTGTGACACCTCGTGCTTCTAAGTCTGTAGTAAAGCTCTGGCTTGGCTTTGCCTGTGCTTTCTGGGCTAATTACTCACTTCTGTCTCCCTTGCAGTGACAGTCTTCTACTCAAACAAGGGAAGAAATGAAAGAACTAAAGCCTTCTAGAACCGCCAGCGCTGACCAGCAGAAGATGGGAGTGAGGAGCTTGGAATTTCCTGCACACTAGCTTTGTTTGACCTCACTTTGAAATTGTTACATCAGTAACCAGATTTGGTTTCCATGCCCCAGCTCCATCTGTAGTGACCCAGTTCTAGGATTGGGTTCTACCACATCACAGCTGTAATCCATTCTTCACCTCACCAGTTAAATCTGGGGAGGGAGGAAGGAGACTTAGTGATAAAACTAACCTACGTGGATATAGTAATTCATTTCTGATCTTCATTAATCTTAGATATCTGTAAGGTAAAATCAGACCTGTTTTTTATTTTTGGCCAAGTGAGGGAGTTCTGCTGCCATCAGCACAAATCTTTTTCTAGTAAATTTGGATCCCAATACTGAATTCAGGAAAATATCATTCATTAGGTGCCTATCAACTGCTGGAATATTTGTCACTGTGTGCTCAGTGATTCTTTCAAACATTTGTAAAAATTAAAAATCTCAAAATTTATACTGTGTGTGGTGCCTAAAAAAGAGGTTATTTTGCACAGGGGAAAGTGGAACTGAGGTTTTATTTGATTGCAAGCAGTGCAAAAGACTTGGGTCAGCATTCAAACAAGTACACGTTTATTTACAAACAGAAGATAAAATGACTGTCACACCAAAGTCTGGCATATTTACAGCATTCAGTTGTAAGATTGAAAAGATTATTGTGTAGAGGGACAGGATAAAGAAAATGGGAAGTTTCCTGTTGAACTACAGAAGAGCTAAACTGAAATAGGCCAGAAATGCCAGATTTTAAAAGAGTATTTCTCAGGGAATGCGAAACAGGCTAAACTCAAAGGAACAGATAGAGATGTGGTTCCTGTAAAGCTCTTCCTTAACTCCTCAAAAAGAGGAACTGCTGAAGCAGCAGTGAGTTTGGGTGCCAGTGCACAAGGATCAAGGGAAAGAAGGGGTGTGATTTTTCCTGTTAATTAATGATGAAGGGCGGTGGGAGTTGTCACAGGCTTGTACAGGCAAGGGACACTGAAGTTGGTCAGCTAGCTAGAAAGCAGCCTGGTTCAGAGTTCTGAAAGATGACATGGAAGAAATGGGGAAGGCCTACTGTCCAAGAGACAGAAATGTGAGACTGGCCAGCATGGATGTGAGCTCCCATCCTGTACTCCATGTTGAAACTCCCTTGGGGCTACCTGCAGTCTGTGCTTACTTCTTCTTCAGTGAGCTTTTCTGTTTCTTCTCCGAGGACAACTGTTTCCGTACCTTCTCTTCCTTTTTACCCAAATTTTCATAAATTGTCTCTTTCTGCCTGCAAGACCAGAAAGAAATAGGAAAAAGTGAGCAGAAGGAAAAGCCTAGACAAGCCAGCAGGTAGAAAGCACTGCCAGAAGCAGGCATAGATTAGCCTCAGGCTTACGCCAGAACTTACTTGGAGGATTTTCGTGAGACCTTTGCATGCATGTTCTTCACTGCAGGTGGGTAGGCAATGTTCCCGTACTCTGACTCACTTTGCTTGCTTTTCTGAGACTACAGGAGAGAAAACTCAAGCTGAGAAGAATGGGGTCTGGGAGAAGCATGAGAGGAGGCACAATGGAAGAATTGGGGCTGTTTAATCATGCATGTATCACACTAGGATCTCAGTAGAGGTTGGTGGATTGTTAAATCCACAGGCTCTCTGCACTGCCCACAGGTGGCACAGAGGTGAGCAGCAGAATAATGTGTGCATCTTTGTGCAGAAGGGACTAGAGGGGAAACAAATTTCTGGAGGCACCGACAAACCTCACTGTCATGTGCTGGCTAAACAGTGTGAAACAGCAGCAGGTAATGAATGTTGTCAGAGGCTAGAAAGAGAAAGCATGCCAATATCAGCAAGTAAGAGAAAACCCTTTTCACAGAGGTTTGGGAGACAAGTACAAAACCAGGATGGGGAAGACAAAGGTGAAGAGCAAAATCTTTGCTTGTCTTAGATTCAGCTTGTAACTAAACCACACCTAGGGAAGTTATATAGAACGTAGTTGAAATAGTTGCATTAAAACTGTTGTTTGGTGGTTCAGAGGAGGGTGGTACTTGAGCTGCTACTATTGTTTTAAAGGGTTGGGGAGAAGTCTCAAATCTTGGTTCATGTATATAGGTTCCAAAGCTAGTTTAACATTTAGGAAATAGAGCACCTAGGCTCAGGGCTAACACTGCGCACGGCCTCAATTCCCAGGATAGGAAAGCCCATTTTCTCACCTGGATAACCTCCAGCTTTTTCTTTGTTGTCTCTATGAACTGGCAGATGGCCATGTAGATGAACTTGTACTGGGCTTCTGTCTGCACCATCCCTGAGCGTTGGGCCCTCACCATCTGGATGGTCTTCTGGATGTCAATGTCACAGTCTAGCCCTACCAAGGGGTACCAGAAAAGCTTTGGATGCATTTGCTGACCCCCCCTCTCCCGCTTCTCTTCCAAAAACAGTCACAGTGGAGCTCATTCAAGAAGTTTTCACCTCCCTTCATCCCTACCCCTGCAAGGACCTCCCATCCCTTCTTCCTGCTCAGGATCTTCCAAGCCTGACCCTGGAGGAAGAGCTCAGGCTCAGGGAAGGCGAAAGCCAATAAATGGGTACGGTTCAGGGAATCAGCAGCTGCCATAGACCAAGGATAGCACAACTTTATCAAGGCTGTGGCAGGCTCTCCTCCATTGAGACCTTCTGCTGCTGGCATTAAGCCTTACTGCGTGGGCCAGTTTAATTCAAGAAACAATGAGGTCTTCTTACCCTTGGTGGAGATTGTTTCCACTATCATATCAATGACGATGATAGTCCCAGTGCGGCCAATCCCAGCACTGCAGGGAGAGGACAAGCAGAGATCAGAGCTGCCTGCACAGTTATACCTACATCCACCCAGCCACCACGGTTCCTGAAACAATATGCAGCTGCTTCTGGGGAAGAATGCAGCACTTGTAGCAACTGTTCATCACTGCCACAAAATAATCAAGGATTCAACAGGCGGTAAAGTTTGGTTTGGGGACATCAAAAAGGAGTAAGAATTGTCAATGGGTTCAAGTCATTCAGCTAGTGCAGCAGGACAAAGACTTTACGCCTTGCCCTATGGAAGAGATGGAGATTGATTTAGACCTCAGCCTCAGTACCAACCTGCAATGCACCAGAATAGGCCCCGCATCTGGAATGCTCTCCTGCTTCTGGTTTATTTGATCGAGGAAACTCAGCACTCCTCCTGGCTCACTGGGGACACCATGGTCAGGCCAGCTCAGGTATTGGTACTGCCAGATCTCACGTACAGCCTCACTCTGATAATAAAAACATCTTACTGGTAAAACTGCAGCCCAGTCCTATCCCTGGCCACTGTCCTGGGGAGAGCTGGGTCTTAAGCCAAAGGCTTAAGAGCACTCCTTGAGCACTCTTGGGTGATTTCACCTGTGGTCCAAGCCCAAAACAGATGGAACAGTGCAACTACAGCACCCAGTAGTTCCCAGCCTTAAACATATAGTGACTATTAGACCCATGGGCTCCAGAACCAACCAAGCACACTCACATCATTTATTGGACACACACAGAGATGCCGGAGTTTGTATTCCAATGCGTCGTGCTCCCCAACATTCTCCACAAGGTAGGGACCATATTCTTTTGTGCTGCCTGCCTCTGGCCAGTAGGGCACACATTTATTCTGCGTGGACAAGAGGTAAAGTGGAGATAGGCAGAAGGCAGGAGAGAGAAAGAAAACAGCTATGACTGAAGGGGAAAAAAGGGCAGTTTCAAGACATCTTCTTACCCGTCCTTTTTCTACTTCCCGTGTGGTCATAACAATAATATGTGTGTTCTCCTGCCACACCATTTGCCAGAAGTCATTGACAGTGGTATCCAGACAACCCTGGCTGGCAATGTAGGTCTTGGGGCACTCATCTGGACTGATTAGATTGTTCTGTGGAGAGGGAAAGATCAGGGATGCTGCAGGAACTGGCAGTCCCCTCTCCCACTTAGGGCATACAGCCATCTTTCAAAAATCTCACCTTTATATAGTTGGCATTGATATAGTCAGATCCAGGGATATTTGGGTCCCTTCCTTGAAGGATGACTCTAGAGTGATCAACTAGGTGTGCAGTCAAGAATAAACAGAGCAATGAGACACACTGTGCCCAGCCACACAAACCTCTCTCACTGGTTCCTGCCACCTCATTCATGTTACTCAGTGTACACAGCACGCACAGCATTGTCACCACTTCTTCTCTGGGGTCAGAGCAATTTTAGTGTGTGCTTCCCTCTTCCCATGGCAGACCGTCCCATAAGCTACTCTAATGCTTCCCTCCCTCCTTCCCTCCCTCAAGAGCATGAAAAGGCTGTGACCTTTTATCAACTTTTAAATCCTCTATGCTGCAGACTTTTTAATCCAATCTGGAGGACAGAACAAGCTGAGGCAGGGCTAGAGGTAACTTGGATACCTCTTCAATGCCTGTCTCCATCTTTTTGCTCTTTTTACAGTGGAGGAGATAGACTCACAAGGCAAGATGTTCTTGTATCGATTCTTGCTCTTGTTTTCAGGTCTCTGGCCCTCATGACGGTCAAATAGTTGTTTGGCTTCCTGTTTTTGCAGGCTCTGAAAGCAGGAAAAAGTTATAGCAAGATCACAATAACAGAGTAGGTGGTCAGAGGAACAGTGGTAACTCTAGGGATACGTGGGCATGCTTGTTGAAGAGTAGAGATGTAAAAAGTTAACCTAGCCTTGAAAAGTCCAAGGTTCATGCTCTTACTGTTTTAGCAACTAGTTCTATCCATGAAAAAGTACATTTCTACCTCACTGAGTTCACTTAAAGATAATGCTTACTCCTGAGATTTAAAGAGACATTTCAAATTGACATTAATTTACAAGATTGCCTGAGAAATTTCCAAAAAGAAATCAGGGATGGATAATTAAATGGTGCACAGGAACTCCCCAAAAAGCCAGAGTAATATCCCCCCACTGTTTCTTACATCAAATTCCTCCCAGAATCCAGCCTTTGGTGTTTCCTCAGATAAACTCTTCTTGTTCAGCTCATGCACTCTATTCTCAATGTCAGCAGCATTCACCCTTGTAGCATAGTAGGGCTGGGAATGGGAAAATACAGCAGGTTGGCATGAGAGAGAGATGCTACTGGAGATCACAGTCTCCTTTGTGGAAAACAAAGAATGACAGAACACAAACAAACAGCGAATCCCTCCAAAGGATCCTTGAGAAATAGAAGAAACAGAATTTACCTGCTTCAGGTATACAAAAGAGCCAGACACCTCTTCAATCCCAGTCTTCTTGAAATGCTCCACAAGATCTGCCAAGCTGTCAAACTTTTCAGTACCTCCAACTGTATAACGTCCATTCTAAATGAAGAAAGAACATGTTACATCCCATAACATTCTTGCAAGAAAGCTGATAATGCTCAGGAAAAAAGAGGAATCTGAGGTTTGATGTCGTAGGAACCACTTTGTGCCATCTAGAAAAAAGTCATCAAATGGTAGCTTGACAGTACCAAGTTCATGGTGAGCTGACTCCTTAGTGGATGGAAGCCTGGAGGAAATATTGCCTTCAATTGTCATTTAAGGCCTATTGCTTTTCGTCCTTGAAATCTCCCTCCATTTCCTGTATAGCTTCACATGAAAGAGAGAGTACTTGTTACAGAGAGGTGCAACATCCTCCAGAGTAAGTCTGAAGACCTTGCTGATACCTCCACCTCTGCCAAGAGCTTTTAAGTCTTTTGATAAAGTCATCATTAGATTGTGAATCCTCCTATCTCTTTCACTCGACTCCCTTTGCTGGAGTTCTCAGTCACACCTCATCCTGCTTCCTTCCATATCTGAGCGCCCAGCACTGCCAATGGTCACCCAGTCCTACGTAAGGACATAAGGAACCTGCAAGGTGACAGCACTTTGATCCAAATTCATAAACACTGGTCATCGAGATGACAGGGCTTTTGAAGAGATAGCAGAGATAGGTAGAAACATCTACTCCCTCCTCCTTTTGCTCTCCCACCTGCTCACCTCACACATGATTTTGATGTGGGTGACTTTGAGACGGGCCCCAGAGGCACTGGTTGCTCCAGCTGGTGGAGCATCAGATCCAGGTTTAGGTTGGTCAGTCAGGACAGACAAGACAAAATCCCCAGGTTTGCTGAGGCTTTCCCGCACCAAGAAGGTCCATGGGGTGGCCTTGGCCTGGAGAAGTGATTCAGCTGCAGCACCTGACAGATGCCCATGGTACCACCTGAAAAAAATAAGAGAAGTTCAGAAGAGGTTGAGATGCAAGTAATTGGATGCCATTGAGCTGATAAATGCCAGACAGCAACACTGGGGAAGGAGAGAAAGGGGGATGAAGAAAGATGAGGGGAGAAATAGAGGAAGGAGGAAAGGAGGGATACCAACGGAGAAGCAAGATCTTGGGAAAAGTACGTGACACAGCAGTTAGACAGCTGCCAAGAAAAGGAAAGGGCAAGGGATGAGTGAAGCTAGAAGGGACCAAAGAGCAGAAAGTACAGTGGGAAAGCACCAGGTGTGATACAGCTGTGTTATACGTGAAAGCACAGGTAAGAAATGCTTAATGGCTTTCAGATCATTTCAGGTAGGGTATCTGTGGGTTTCGGTACCTCTAAGCATTATTGGGATTCTAGCCTTACTGCTACAGGGTGCTTTGGAAAGTCAAACACTAAAGAAAACAGAACGAAGCCCCCAGTGAGAAACAATCCCATCAGATTCAGTAGCACTCAGATGGTTTTACTGAGTTCAGACCCATTAAAGAACTAACCTAGGGAAAGATTCTTTTCTTGGAACTCTAGTTACAACCCTGTTTTCTGAAACTCAGTAATTCCCATTCTATGAACACATCACAGTGCAGCAATCAGACTAGCCATGGAGACCATTCCAGAAGGTGCTGGGGACATTACTAAGCTGACAAGTAGGAAACACATGCAAACTGTAGTAAATTGAGATGCTGTAAGATGTTCTGAATCATCCCATTCCTTCTAGTACCATTTTGTTTGTGTAGGCTCTGCTGGATCTGGACATACCCGAGCCCAGGGGCCACCACAGCCCCAGTGCCTCTGTGCTGGATGCTCCCCACTTAGGTATCAGAGAGCAGATTTGGGCCCTCTGAAGCAAGGATGGGACTGGCTTAAAAAGGCCCATCTGTCTCTGGGACAGCCTCATCTGCAGCTGAAGCCATGCACTGGGCTGTGTGTTCGGGGGCTTTGAATCTGTCATACCAGCATGGGCTGTGTTTGTGCAGCTCTGTCCTGTTCCACAAAGCGCCCAGCAACTGCAGCCACCACTATTTTGGCCATCTCCCCAGTGAGCAGCATTTCAAAAGCAGGTAGCTCTTGCGTCAGGCTAACTTGCAATGCCTCTTCCTGCTCTGCTCGCTTCAGGTACTGCAATAAGCACCAGATATGCTCCACACATCACTGCACACATTGCAGTCGAGGCCAAGCAGATGCTGAGTGTGGGTAGATCCATAGCAGCAGGTTTGCTGCCAATTGAGTACTTAATGATGGAGGTCTGGGGCAACAGTGGTATTAATGATGGACTTTGATTTGCTACAGCTCCTCCGCTATCCCCAAGAACTAAAATCTAGTGCAGGATCCCATGCCACAGAAACAGAAACAGACAGGGCATTCATTCACCCCTGCTCTGCTCAGCACAACATATTCCTCTACACATCATCTAAGAATCCTTTTGAGAGCAAGATGTCACAGACAGTTACTATCCTCAGCTAATTGGGGCTAGCTTTAATTTCTACTGATCTTCACCCCATTCTCTGCAAGAAGTAGCTGGGGACTTCCATTGCACGGCAGTTATTAATTTCTGAACCTCTTCCCAAATAAGTGTCCAGCCAATATTTGCCCTGGGGAACAGCTGACTGCCCTCTTGATCAAGAAAGGGGTCTGCGGGCCAATCCTCCACAGGTAGGAAGGAGTTAATGTGTCCTGTTCCCCCCTTCCCTCCCCCAGCACGGCCCAGCTCTTCAAACCCACGTGATGGAAAATCACTTGGGGAGAGAGTGAGAGGAGCTTTCGTAAGAGCTGGGGGGAGAAGTTTCCAACCGCAGGAGGAAGGGAGGAAGCAGTAGGGCCACAGCCCAACGGCCTTGAGTGGAGCGGACAGCCAGGACACAGGGGCAATACAGGGTGTACCCAACTGCTTCTCACCCAGCATTGCAGTTCTCTGTCCCCACGTGCATGAGGAGGACCTGTCTGCTCCCCATGAAGCAGTCCGTCCCCACCCCAGAGCACGGCATGACACTCCCCAAGCTGCGTCAGCAAGCCTGAAGGCTCGATGCAAGGGCAAAACCACCTGATTTGATTTAGGAACTTTGTGTCAGAGAGGTATGCAAAGTGGGGACAGGAAGGAGACTCAGAAGGCTGGGAATAGCAGGTGAATGTGGGCCCCACTCAGCCACGAGTCAGCTAGACCCAAAGGAGGAGGTCTGGGGCAAGGCTGAGGGCTCCCACGCACCAAGTCACCCCCACATACCACTGCAGATACATAACTAACACCACAACCCCTGCTTTTGATGAACAGTATTTAAATCACAAAGGCAACAAGAAACCAAAAGTATAAATAGATCCCCATCAAGTCTGCTCTCATGTCAAGTTACGTCCAGCTATTGCTGAGGATGGTGTCCCTGTGGAAACACAGCAGGATGTGGGAACCAGGAGATGCATTTTGCAAGGTTCTCTCTAGAGATGTGGGCCAGGTAGAGAGAAGGGCATGAAACGTCATCAGAGACATACCAATGTTTGGTTTTCTCCATACCTCTCTGTAGTGGGATCAGAACAGTTGAGCGGATATCGCAAGTCAATGATGGTTCCATCTTTGTCTTGCAGTGAGCCCTGCTGCTGCGTGTAGTACTCCACCAGTTCTGAAAGTGTGGCAAACTTCTCACCTCCATATAGGTCATAGAAATCCCCAGTATTCTGGATACGGATGTGGGTTACCTGATCACCGACCCTGAGGGATGAGGCACAGAGTAGTCTGGTGAGAGAGTTGAATAAAAACCAGAAAATTTGGAGCCACCGCCTGCATCACCTTCTACCATGGAACTGTGGCAAACCATCCCAGGAGATGACTGGAAAAAGAAGCTCCTGATGAAAGTTAAGGGAGTGTCTAGAAATTACTGGGCAGCTCAGGTCCTTTTACAGCTTGGAAAGAAGTCAGAGGAACAAGGACAGGTTGAAGGAGAGACCGTAGGACAAATGAAGATCTAAGCATTTTGTATATATAATCTTGGAAAAACAGCAGTTGAAGTCCAAGTTACCTACCTAACAGAAAGGGAAAAATCTCCTTGATTCTTTCGACTGGGTCTGGCTAGAAAGCTTCCATGGACACCTCGTCCCTTCAGTAAGGCTTCAGCTTCCAGCCCACTCAGGTCACGATGAAACCACCTAGAAAAGGAGATGAAAACAGAAACAAGTAAACAAAAAATGCCAGGCACCACAATTGTACAGTGAAGAATGGCTTTCAGTCATCTTCCTTAGGGATATCCACACAGGCGGCAGCCAGCAATAGCATGAATACCCTTCGTAACCACTACCTTCCCAAGCCTATGAAGGATTTCAATTGAGATACAGATACCAGTGTGATCTCCTCCAAGCTGCCCTATTTTGCTGGTTCCCCTGCCTACACACACACATGCACACACATGCACACACTTGTCAGACCCTCTTACCTCACCATTGTGAAGGGAAAAAAGAAGGGGAGGTCAAGTGGCTATCACCAAAGCAACTCAAAAAATACAGAGGAAAAGTCTCTTTGCACTGATGAGAAAAGGGAAGTCGGAGATCAGCAGTGGAGCAACCGGCACTAAGTTGTTTCTGCTTCTCTTGGGAGCTGGCCATGTATCTCTCCTGAAGTCTACTGTTAGTCCATTCAATGCCTCTCCATCACTCTGTTTCTGGGTATGTGCCTTGATCTCCTGGCCCTCTGTGCTGTAGAGCACAGGCAGGAGCAACCTGGTGCGCAGCTGAGCACACGCGGCTCCAGGAACAGGAAGTGCTGTGAACCATCAGCTCCTCAGCCCCAAGCTGCTTTGCACACACTTCTGCTTCTCCTTTTGTGTCTTTCCTCCCCAGCCCCCTTGTTATTCTTGGTCCCTTGTTTTTTTTTTTTCACATCAGGTTTGACTCTACGAGTGCTTCTTGGGACCCAGCTGTGGTCACAAATTTCAGTTCTGCAAGACCTCTGTTCCCCTTCTTTCTCATGAGGTCAGTAAGAAACACAAGTGCTCCCCACTCCAAAGTCCTTGCAGTAGTACTAAGGTGACCACAGTTGCCTAGGGTCACCCACACATCTGCAAGGGTAAAACAGGCAGCACATGCTGTTGGTATGCATTCAGCAATAAGGCACCTTACATGTTACGACCATCCAGACATGCATCTGGCTCTGTGGGGCTGCTCTCAGCCATGTAGATGAAACCTGCATGACCCCACTAGGCAAATAGGTAAATCTCCCATGTGCTCTAAGCAGCCACAGAGGGGATCTGAGTAAAGCCAGGTCTGCAGATTTTAAGAGGCATAGGCTAGCACTCTAAGCAGAGCGCTCTCATCTTGAACACAGCCTGGAGGATACAACTAGCAGAAGCTCAAAAGGGCTGGGAGACAGATGTTGGAGCACCCAGGACATCAGGCAGAGAGCAGAACCATCACCTACAGCCTATGGTGGGCCCACACAGCACCAGTACAGCTTAGTCTAGGACCTTCAAGATCCCAGTACAGCATACCGAGGTCAAAGCTGTATATCCATACATTCAGATTAAAAGAAAGAAAACTATTTCCATTTCTCTACACCTAAAGCACATGACTATCCTTTTCCACATTTTAAAGTCTGCAGTTATCATGAAAGAATGGGAGCAAAGTAAAAGCCACAGAAGGCAATCCAGCTGGTGAAGGAGCATGACTCTTTCTTCTCACCATCTCAGGTACCACACCGAGTAGCTGAGATGTGTGTTGTTTTAGATGGAAAAAAAAGAGATTTGCTCATTTCAAGTAGCAGCAGTTGCAGACTTCCCTACATACCACAAATCTTGCAAAGAACTGAACAGGCTGCTCACAATGACCAAGACATACAGAAACTAACACCAAAGGGAAGTACAGGAGACACGAATGGAGAAACTAAACTTCATTGCTAGAAAGACAGATCAGGCACCAAAAACAGCTGCCTTTGAAATACTTCCAGTTTCACACAGATGATAAGCTGGGATGTGGTAAGCTGCAGGAATCCAGCTGTACTGACTTAAAACTGATATTAAAATAAGGAAACTTTAAAGGCACAGAGACTCAGTGAAACAAATTTTACACAAAGAACATACTGTACCTAAATAAGCTCAGAACCACACAGTCATTTGTTTACTCCCTGCTCCCAGTGGGGTGAGGGAGAAAATTGAAAAAAATAATAATAGAACTTGTGGGTTGAGATAAAAACTGTTCGCTAAAACAGAAAGAGAAAAAAAAAAAAAGGATAATAGTTATGATAATAACAATATATACATACAAAACAAGTGATGCACAAGCAACCTCACTACCTGCCAACAGATGCTCAGCCAGTCCCCAAGCAGCTTCTGCCTGGCCATTTCCCCACCGCTTTCAAGTTTTTTCACATGAAGTCATATGGTGTGGAATATCCCTTTGGCCAGTTTAGGTCAGCTGTCCTGTCCTGTTCCCTCCCAGATCCTTGTGCCCCCTCAGCTCCCCTTGCTGGCAGGACACTATAAGAAGCTGAGAAGCTGAAATGTCTTTGGCTCTGTATAGCACTGCTCAGCACCAACTAAAAACACTGGGGTGTTATCAACAGTGTTTTTCTCCTAAAACCAAAACACAGCATTATACCAGACACTATGAAGGGAAAATCAACTCTGGATGGTTTCACACAGTGGCACAGGACATGGCTATGTTTCCAGTCGTTCGGTAGGTGCTTCCACCATTGTAAGCACATTGCACTTGCCAGGGCAGGTCTGTGGCAGTGTAACACAGTGAAGCCAGGCTTCCCCTTATTTATATTTCAGCCATTGTCCTGCATACCAAAGAGGTTTTACCTCTTTGACTTGTTTAATTCCAACACCTTTCACATTCGTGGATAACCTGTGCAATAGCATCCATGGTCAAGTCAACCCCTTGATTCCAAGTCCATCTATATGGACTTCCTCAATGGCCTGATGTATCATCAGCCTACAGAGCTAGAAATAATTCGCCCTTATGTTGCCAGTCAAGGTCTACCCAAGCCACTTCAGTCCTAGAGACCTGATCCACCTGCTGGCTGTTTTGATGTTCATCAGTGGCACAGTTCTTTGGTATGTGGGAGTCTAAGTGATGTTCCTTTACAACCATGTTCTCTACTCAAACAGCAATATCTTTCCATAATGTAGGGGCCCAGATGAGTTTGCCACTGCCCTATCAGTTTTTCTACTTCCACTGTTGAAAACACTCCCGTGATGCATTTGCCATCATCCAGGAGTTAATGCAGAGATACAGTGCTGGACACTTCTTTCTTCAGCAATATAAATTTAAAGCTAGATGCCCTTCACTTCTGGAAATTGCCTCAAGTCACCTTCAGTAGCTTCTGCAACTCATCATGTAGGACTCCATACAGCAGCCTTCTACTTCTAACGCTGTCCCACAATACAATAGGACCCATCAGTGAACAGGGCATATTGATTTTCACTCTCAGGTAGTTTACTACATATCAAATTGTAGAATATCTCAAGTTGGAAAGGACCCATAAAGATCATGTCCAACTCCTGACTCCACACAAGACCACATGTCTTAAAGCATTGTCCAGATGCTTCTTGAACTCCAGCAAAGTCAGGACTGTGACCACTTCCCTGGGGAGCCTGTTTTGGGGCCCAGCAACCCTCCAGTGAAGAATCTTTCCTGATAGCCATACAGAACCTTTTGCAGCTTTGTGCCATTGCCTTGGGTTCCATCACTTGTCATCAGAGAGAGGAGATCCTCATGAGGAGCTGTAGGCCACGATGAGGTCTCCCTTCAGTCTCCTTTTGGCTGAACAAACCCAGGGACTTCAGTCACTCCTCATGTATCTTCCTCTCTAGACCCTTCACCATCTTGGTAAGCCTTCCTTTGGACACACTCTAATAGTTTCATGACCTTTTTGTACTGTGGCAGCCAAAACTGAACACAGTGATCTAAGTGAGGCAGTATCAGTGCAGTAGAGTGGGAAAATAATTTCTTTTGACCAGCTAGCAATGCTATGCTTGATTCATCCCAGGATACAGTTAGCCTTCCTGGCTGCCTGGGCAACTTGTTGACCAAAATCCCCATATTTCTTTCATCTGGGCTGCTCTTCAACATCTCAACCTCTAGCTGGAGTTACCTCTTTCCAGGTGCAGAATCTGGTGTTTGCACTTGCTAAAATTCATGCAGTTGGTGATTGCCCAGTTCTCTAAAATCTGTCTATATCTCTTCGCAAAGCTTCTCCATGGAGTCAACTGCTCCTCCCAATTGAGTATGATTAACAACCTTGCTCAGAACACGTTCTAGTCCTACATCCAAGTAGTTTTTGAAAATATTAAAGAGAACTGGCCCTGGGAACCCACCAGCCTGATGTAATCCTATTTACTATAACTTTTTGGGCCCAACTCATCAGCCAGTTGCTCACCCATCACATTATGTTTTTGTCTAGCCATATGGTGGACATTTTGTCCTGAAGGATACTGTGAGAAACAGGATGAAAAGGGATCCCTCTATCCGTCCAGAAATACAGATGGGTTCTGCCCCTTTATAACTTAATGACATTATTCTGTGCACTGGTGACCACTAGAGCCTTACACTCCTGTAGTTCTAATGTGCCAGGCTGTCAAATCCACACAGTCCAGTAAAACTGATTGTCCCTTTCCTTCACCTGGCTGGAGGCAGGGCACCTCTGGTTCTGATTACAGTTCATTACTCAGTTCTCATGTATGAGAACGAGAAGGTTCACTGTCAGTGTCAGAAATAAGACCAGACCATCTGTCTATCTAGGAACATTTTGAAATTTGGAAACTGGAGCAGCTATTTTTCTGGAAGAACCCTTTTTTTGTGATTGTTCTTCCTTGCAACTCACATATCCTTGCCTACAGGGTCAAAGTGGGTTTTCCATCCCACTTCCTCATATCTTATCCATGGGACACAGTAAAACCACAGGGTGATGATGTGGTGTCGCTATATTCTCTCACTCGAGCACAGGAACACTGACTTCTAATAGCTGAGATGCTGGTTTGTATAAGCTGGGGAGAAAACTTACACTTTGTCTTTGATCTGCTGAACCAGCTTTTCTACAGCTGACACAGGTGTGTAGGGAGAAAGACAGATTTTCCTCATATTGTTGAAGTAGGCTAGACACTTCATCCGCTATTTTTTGTTTGTTATTTTTCCAGGTCATTGCTGCTGGGGTGGTGGCATATGATGGTGGTGCACTCCATACAAATCTCTGCCAAATAGATTGAGGGCACCTCATGTCATCTGGACCATGGGATAACTGATTACCATCCAAGTAAATGTTACTCATAATCTCCAGCACAGCTAATTCCATCAGGCACTGGATATCTTTCTCCATGGTGGTCCATTTGCCTGGGTAACATCCAGATCTCCCTTGAAAGGATATTGTCAATGGTTTACAGGCTGGTTCAGCCCAGTTCCATGACTAATGGGGTAGGGGGACCCATGGACCCACACCCTGGGAAAGGGGAAAAAAGGAGAGGGTAGGGAGACGGGCCTAAGAACAAAACAACAGCAACAATCTAAGGAGGAAAGCTAATTTACTAGGAAAGATATCAGAATACAAGATAACAAAAATATGATATAACTGGAATGAAGCCAGCAAATCAAATAAAAGGAGAGAGAGGGCGTCCCAAAGCCAGAGACCTTCTTCTAATGCTAAAGGTGAGATGACTAGGGAGCACATGCTGCCAGGACAAGCAGAAAGGGAAGAAGAGGGGTCTCATGACCTGCGATCTTTCCCTCTGAACAGAAAATGGAAACGCAAAGTCCTCCAGGGTATGTAGTTCTTCTTCTCTTCTGAAACAGGTGTACTCAGAACTACTGATGATCCACAGAAC